GATATGAGTGCTCCAAAAATTGTGCGTAACTCGCGCGGGCCAGAAGAGAAAACTATTAACCAATACTGCTACATCAGTAATTCTTTGTTGTTAGAGATCGGTTCAAAGTTTTCATTTCCAAAAAGAAAAATAGAGCAATGACAATTTCAAACGTTATCAATTACCTTTGCAGAAACACCTCTTACTCCACAGAGTGCTTGGGACAGCAATGTTGGTCGGTCATCAATGGATGCCAGTGTCAGCGGAGCACAAAAAAATAGTAAACAGGATTGGGGCATCAATGGTAAACGAGGTTGGGGCATCACTGGTGGTTACAATGGACGCAATTGGGGCGTCAGTGGTAGTTATGGGCGTAACAATGGCAAATCGAGTTTGGGCATCAGTGGCGGATTGGGGAACAATGGCCCACAGGGTTGGCACGTCGGTTTCGGTTATCAAAAGAAATTTGGTAAACGTAATTGTTATTGTTGTTGTTGTTGTTGTTGAAGAGTACGAACAGTCCCTCCTTTCGGCGAAGTCCGTTGAGCGTCTCCAAAAAATTCAGTGAGACAAAAAAATGAAGTTAGCGTGCCGCGGGGAGTTTGGGCCGGTGTGATGCCTCACTCTTGAAAAACTCCCCACACACCACCCCCGTTGTTCAGCTATCCGTCCATCCATCCATCCTTCCATTCATCTACTAATCCATTCATCCATTCACGCACCCATTAGTCTGGTAATGACTAGCAATTTGTAAAAACGAGAAATCAGAGGTTAAATAAGACCCTTTCCTATAGCTGGGTGCACTGATAGTTGGCAAAAGATATTTAGTGCTTTTTTCGGGCGTTTAAGCTCTTTAGAGAGAGCTACACTTTTCATGTCCGAATCTCTTACACTGGTGATTTTTTTTATATATTTCAGACCCACAGGTGAATTACCTATCGAGAAGTCAAGGTCGACGCCAAAACGGTATAGGAAAATATGAATGAAAACTGTGCTAACTTAATTGTTTCTTTTTTCAATTAATTGCCAGTTTCATATCGATCTCTAATTTTGGTAAATTCTCTCACATTTCAGGCCCACGTTACAACATTCGGACGAAATAAAGGTCAACGCTCCTATGATATGAGGAAATATAAAGAAGAAAGTGCCTTAATTTGCTAAACTTTAGTAAGAAACGTAGCATTTGGACTCGATTTTGTAACAATACTCAATAATTTTAATGATAAAGAAATGGCACTGAGGAGCAAACAAAGGATTAAAAAGGAGCAAAGTACGGTGTTTGCGTATTCATTTAAACCTTTACACCTTAATATCAATAATTATATTCTCCTGACTTTTCTCTTTAAATTTCGTATAGTACAGATAAGGAGAATTCTATTGACAATCAGGAGCTTCTGAAATTGGTGATCGTTTCCTTTATGCTCATGACCTTAATGTATGATCCAAGGGTGAAATCGTAAGGAGAAATCAGAAACCGGTCACCTTGAGGGGCAAAGGATTAGTGCTGGTTTGGGAGGGTCTTCGCGTATCTCCGAACTTATAGGAACGGATGAACAATTTTAATAGAGGTTAGGGTTTCAAAAATGATATCTTAGTGTAAATTTTCGCGTTAAGATCTCCGAGAGTTACTTTCAGATGTTTATGAGGCTCTGCGTTCTTTAAGGTTCATACACAATCATGCCCCTCGACAAAAAATAAACTGATGAATATGGTTTTTCAAGCAAATCCTGTTTCCTGATTGGCTACCCGAGCGGGTAGGCTGGGCCCATCTTGCCCACTTTGATCCTGCGCAAAAAATAAAGTGCATGGAGCGGACTTACAATGTTCGCAACTCTTGCACAATTTCGGCGCAAAAAGCGACAGAAGACAGTCAAATGTCGTATATTAATGTTAGGATTCGTCCACTTTTAAACTTTCCCAGGCCTTGAAAATGATATTGTAAGATTGCATGACTTTCGAGGTATTTCCTAAACCGAAGAACCCTACAGGATTTATATGCAAACAGAAGTGTGCTGTTAGTCTGTTATGAATTGCACCTTAAAAGAAAAACTGAGGATGGTTCATCGCGGGCTGGTAGGACAAATTCTAAACAGCTTTGTCTCTGCCACAATAAGGTTAAATACTTTAAAAAATGTCTTTATCTGGCCTTGAATCATTACACATCCTAATTTTAAAAACGTTGCCATGGAAAAGAGCTAGTAGAAATAAAAACACAAAAAGGCAAATAAGGAGTCATTAGCATATAAATTACCTTCTCATGATCTAAAAAGTTTTTTTTTTTTCTCTCTCATTTTTATTTTAAATCAACGGTGTTATCGACAGCAAGGATTTATTTCTCTCTAGGAGAAAGTTAGACTTCTTAATCAAATTCCTCTTTTGCTTTTTCCCTTTTTTTCCAATACATTTCTAGCTGTTAGCTTTTTTCTTTTTCAACAATCAACAGTCACATTGTTATTCGAAATTTCCTCTAAAGATTGCCTTATTAAGTTCTGTGTGGCTTATTCAATTCTTTGAAATGTATTTTTTTTCAATTTCTGTCGTTTTCCATGACAACAACGTTGAAATTTGTGGTAACTTTTCGCTGTTACAAAAAAATCCCGTCTAAATGGCCAATGACGATGGAAAATTATGCTCTATAAATAAAGGCGAAAACATGAATAGAAAATTATGCAATGCTTGAAATTTCACACTTGTAATTCATTGAATAAACAGACGCTTCAAGCTGTATTGGGAGAAAACAAATAACTGCGTGTTTTCTCGCTGATAAGCGAAATATTTTTTCCTTTTACCTCTCCAAGTCCACGATATATAAAATTGATTCATAGGGAAATAATAATTTATTCTTTGTTGCATGCAAAGGTTTCGTATAATTTCATATAAACCCAGAGACCTCGGGCTAAGTAATTAAGTACCTTGTATGACATGTTTACGGGGCTGCTGTAATACGAGTAGAACTCCTAATTTGGCCTGAATTTTGGGTTCACTATCTAAATCTTGGGTGTAAGAAGTCACTATTTATATTCTCTCGACACTGAAATCTTCAACATGGTGCGGGCGTTAGCGATACGCATGCAATTTCTATTTGTGCTATTAACAATTTTCGCTATTCTAATTTCATATCATTGATAAAGAGGTAGCGCCCCAAGAGGAAATAAGATTCTCCCAATCAACTCCTGGTAGCCTGGCTTTTTTATATCTCTTAATTAATTTTTGCTTTTAACCTTTTTTTTTACAACATTTTTGTTAAGAGCAACTCTTCCCATTATCTATTGAAACATCGTTCAACGACCCAGTGATGGAATAATTGTGCACTGCAAATATTGGATAGCGAAACCAAATATGCAATGTAAATGAAGAGCTTCAAATTTCTCACTGTCAATTCCTTGAATAAACTACATTTCAAGCTTTTGAAACAAATAACTGGCTGTTTTCTTACAAGTTGGTAATGCCTCGCTAGTGAAATGGTTCCTTTTTCCATTTTTTTTCTCTATAAGACTGAGCCGTTCGGAACTTTATCCTATGTTGTAAGCAAAAGTTTAAAAAAAAAGTTCTTACAAACCCAATTACCTTGAGCCAGGAATAAACCTCGCATGAAATACATATGGGGCTGAAGTATAAGACGGGGGTGGGGGGTGGTGAGGGGTTCTTATTTGGCCTATATGGAATGTGCTGAAAACTATTACGGTCTCAGGATACAACATTTGTGATTGATAAGCGGGTGTATAGCATTTCACTAAATAAAGCCTCTTGAAAATTAATACGTATCTCTGGACCAAAACTTTTAAACTAGGTGCGAGCCTAATGGATACATGGTCATAAACGTTTTTCTTAACTTAACCTCACTGCAAATGCAACATCATTATTTAAAAAGGAAAAAAAAAAGATTGACGGCGCAATCGTACTAAAATTGTTCTTAAGTGTCTCCCTACACCTTCTGTCTTGGATCCTATAATTAAAACTCTCTTTCGAGACCTGCTGTGTCTATTTTGGCCCCGGCGCTGATCGACGAGAGCATTTGTTGACCCATTGTGTAAAAACTGGGAAAGTTTACCATTTGTAACAGCTTCTCTTTATGGTAAATTCATATCAAATGCTCGACAAGACTTTTATATTCGTTCAAATAAAATGCCACCTGCTAGCAGACAAGAAAAGCCACTTCAAGACACATCTGACAGATTTTTATTCGAAAGAACTTCCCCAATTCAATTAACAATTAATGTATTCGGCTAACGTCACCTCAAGGAGTTACGCTAAAATTTTAACTACCCGCTCTCCTGGCTAGAATTAACAATCTAGCTGCGATTCAGAAGAGGGGTTTTATATAGCAAAGATAATCTATTGAAATTGATAGACGATGTAACATCATAGATATGGCAATTTGCTGCCTACTCGAGGTAAGGTTTGTAACAAAAAATATGTTATGCAAATGTTGGAGAAGAACTTCCCGTGTCATATTTTCTAATCAGTCCGCCTTCGTGCGTCTTTGTAAACTAATAGACACACAATTCCATGGAAGAGTATTTCGAATCTTCGAAGGAGAATGTTGGCTCGACTATGTTTCATCACTCATATACAAATTTTGCTAACGTTCGTTTAGAATTAAATCCGAAAGAAAATTATTTCAATTAATTAGTATTAAAAGATAAGGTGTAACGAAAGTTCATCTCGATTCAATTTCCTTGAGAAGTAAAAAGTTGATAAATAAGCCAAGTTTTTTGTTTGTTCCTGTAAGAAATTGTGTTCCTTCCACCTTAGTTTTGCTTGTTAAATTCGCGGGAAAATGTTTATGTAGCTCTTTTTAGGAACATAAAATATTAACCACACGGAAAAATATCATCCTTTTCTTATGAATAGTTTAGGAAACTCTGCAATAATATGAAAGCAGTAGGTCGCCCATGTGGGTGCGTGCAGTATCATGGTATTACTCTGAGTGTTTATGAATAACAAAAACCGTTGGTGATTTTAAGCTTGGGGTTAAATCATGCAATCTTTTCGAGGAACACAAAATGAAATCAGGCTTTCACAAGGAATATGCAGGGCGCAAACTTCTTAATTCTTATACCCCAAACTTGAATTTATTTGACTCGATCGAAGACTGACGAACAGAGTAGTAAATGAAATTGATTCCATACAAAGGAATCGCTAAAGAAGTTTCAGGTGCAAAATCGCACGAGACCTTTTCATCCACCGACCGTGAGCAGCTTTAGAACCAATTTTCAAAACGTAATAAGTGACGACTTGGAAATACGCAGTAGCTTTCATTTCAGTGCTCAAACTTTGGCGTTTCATTTATTGTCTTAACGGTTTACAATACCTTGGACAACATTATAATCATCTCCATCTGAAAGGCATACACACTGAGTAGCTATCATATCATTGCAATGGCCATACATTGGGTTCCCTCGTCAGACCCAAAGTGAGAACTTGAGCGCGTTAGATGCGACCAAAACTGTAGGTGGATCACCATTAACATAATTGCGATTAAGAGACCCGCCAAAAGCTTTACTAAAACACTTGTTCGACGGGCTAGAATTATCATTTCCCATTTATGCACAAGTTTCAAATTTCTTGCATTTTCAATAATTTATCTCCTGAACGAGTCTCTAACTTCATATTTTCAAAATAAAAGACAAAAAAAGTTATACTACTATTCGTTCGCCGTGAGAGTCTTGTAGAAACTTCCTGAAGAGAGAAAGAAATTAACGAAAAAATAAATATGCTTTTTTGTGATTGCAATGCCAGAAACAAAGCTCATTTGCATCAAGACTAAATGTTAGGCAAGTTAAAAAAAACAGCCTTTTGAATAAAACTGATATTTTGCAATGTTTGACAGAAATATCTTTATGCAAATTTGAAATGTTAAAAGGCTCAAATTAAGTAAGCGCCAAAGACTATACATAACAGTCTTCCAATTCGCTCGTTTTAATTTTGAAAACCATGCCAAAAATTGAAATATAATACGCTTTGATTCGCAACTGTATCTCTTCCTATGGGAAAATTTTTTTGTTTCATTAATGTCACCTTTTTCAGTCATGGAAAACCTATTGCGTGCAAATAAGAACTCTTTTTTCCGAGTTTCGAACGTGCGAATTGCTTTTAGGTGTTTTGCGAGACAACCAAGAACTCCTATCGCAACAGTCAAATTAAAAATACTCGCAATTAGCATCAAAATTTATATTTTTTACGTAAACTTATTTGAAAACAAATCTTTCCCATCAAGTTAGGTAGTAGGTCGTGCAAAGCACCAAAGAAATTATTTTTGGGCCCCGAATACGAAGGGCAAGATTGCTTAACTTAGAATTTTGGTTTCAAATTATACTTGAAAAGTCAACAACCTTTGTGTCTGCTTAAAAGCAGATGGCGCTCACTTGCACGCTGGTGATAAATATTTTAATGACTCGAGAAGTTCGCTGACAAAAACACCGTCAATTTCGTTTGTTCTCAAAGAGAATTTTCACCATCCCTTAGAACGAATCCTTTGGGATCTATGTCTGGCCATACTCAATAAGTTTGTAATAATTTACTTAGCTCATCTGCATATAGGAAAGGAAATTTTAATAATGCTGACGTCTTTAGGCACTGACTTCGACATATACATTACTTAGCATTTTAATCGAGGAGGTTCGCCCCGGATAAGCTGTTTCAGTTAATGGTAGAAGGAAAAAAACCTCTATCCAAGAAACATCATAACTGCATCAGCTTGAATCAACTGTTAAAGGCTCAACGAAATATGATGTAAAGAAAACAGTCTTCACAGAGCTGGGTACAATAACAAAGATGCCGTTTACATACAACCTGCTGTTGCTAAAGTAACGACAGGACAGAAAGTTGGTTGAAATTTATAATGATAAGAATATCGTTATGACAAAGATGTGGCAGCAACTTATAGTTCTGGTAATACACTTGTCGATTGTTTTTGTTTTTTGTATAACCACAGAATTTTACGCCAATTTTTCCTAGAATATGATGAAACTCAGTTGTATATTTGCTCTTGACAGATCACCGCTTTTTTCGTGGTTATTCATCATGGCATTCAAGCTGAGATACAAATTGCCGGTAAGTTTGGCGTAGTGTAGTTAAGAACTGAAGCACAGTCAGCTTTTAGAAGAGAATGGCATTCTAGAAAGCCACATTAGCTTCCAAAACCAAGTTATTAACTTAGTAATATTGAGTCGTGGGTGAATTATTTATAACCTCAATAAGGTCTAATCTAAAATATGCAATTTTAGTGAAAAAGTTTCTCGATGCAACTAACTTGTAACCAAATGTTTCCCGCTTTTTCCATAATACTCTAGAAATTTTTTTTTCGCTGAAAATATTATGTGACTGTTTGACGTTTTCATGTCATTAATAATGGATAATTTTCAACCCTTCTTCACAAAGAGCATATAAAAGCGAATACAAGAAAGGTTTTTGATCTACAAAACCACTTCTATCACCAATTAAAACTATAAACATTTTTACTTAAATTCGTGCTCGTCCTTTTATCGTTTTGTTGTTTGATCCTACTGAAATTCTACGAAATGAAATGCAGAACTTGAGAATTGTCTTTGCAATTGTTAATTATTGATTTTTTGCACTCTCGTGGAAATGTGTTATTTTCTACCAAGTTTTAACTCTGTTATATATCGGAAGGTAAACTTTACCTTCCGATATATAACAGAGTTATATGTACTCTTTAAAACCGTTTGAAACGGTTTTAAAGAGTATCCCCAGAAAATTCTCGAAAATTTGGCGAATTTCCAGTTGGTGAAAACGTCACTCCTTTTAATTAAAACGTCCCGTATTTCACTTTGGGTCAATACTAACAGGTTGTTTCATTAGTGACAGAAGATAATCGCTACTGTCTCTTCAATTGACAACACCTCAAACATAGCTTTTTCTTGTCGCTCTCAAAATTGAATTCCCATGAGACCGGAAACGAACATATTTCAAATCCAAAGAGTCGATTAAAAAAAGAAAAGAAAAAAAGCGGGATATTGTGGAAAAAAATTCCCCTCAAGATTTCAGCGTTTAGAATTTACGCTACTTTATGTCAAAAGTTAAATTTCTGCCTGTCCTTGATGAAAAATTTATAACTGTTAGCACATAAAAATGATTCACGGGAACATCACATCCCCAAACGATTGCTGGGTCCTAAGGCTTCTATTATACTTGACAAAGTCACGTTTCACCATGGGAAAATAGCCTCGTTCAATCTTGTGTTTTACGCGTAATGCTGTTAAACTAATTTTACACTTAATAAGCATGATCCCAAATCATGATCTTTATTTTTGCCATTTTAAAGTAAAGTTCTTAAGTCCTGAAAAGCATCTGCTTTTCATTACGTTCAGTTTTTATGAAAATTAAATTCATTATGCTCGCGTAGGGGCCAACATCACTTTTAATTTCGGTAATGAGTCTCTTTGCAAGGAAATATTGTGATATTTCGGATGACAGTCAATGCAAAATTACCCTCGCTCACTCAAGTGCTATTAGCAAGTATCTACCGCTATCAAACAAACAAATCGCCACATCGTCGCCTTAATTTTCGTAATTGAAAGAAGATAGTAAAGTAAACCGTTAAAAGTAAATTTTTCATTTTGTGTGCCACGAGCTAACCATTTCAATTAAAGCCGAGTCGACTACGAAAATGACATTGAGGATATTTCAGTGGGTTCTCGGCAAACTTGAACGGCACGTATGTCTAAAACACGTTTTTTATCGGGCTTCATTAGGCCTTCTCTGGTTGGCTAAACCTCGTGTTACCATCTGCTACGTGAGTAAACAACACATCCAAAAATGCAGAAAAAATATCTTTGACAGATGATGTAAAATTATTGAACACTGTTAAGGTTTGAACCTGGGAATATTATTGAAAAAAAGCAGGATATTGTGGAAAAAATTCCCGTCAAGATTTCAGCGGTTAGAATTTACGCTACTCTATGTCAAAAGTTAAATTTCTGCCTGTTTAAAACCTGGTGTTACCATCTGCTACGTGAATAAACAACGCATCCAAAAATACAGAAAAATATCTTTGACAGATGATGTAAAATTATTGAACACTGTTAAGGTTTGAACCTGGGAATATTATTTAATCGCAGTTCATCTAAGTCTGAGATCAGAAAAGAAAAAAAAAATCCCGATGACTTTTCTTTGAGGAACAACAACATCCGGAGCGGAAGTTCTTATCAGAGTCAAGTAAAAACCGTTAGTCGGTCAAAATTATAGAGGTCTGGGCCGAGTTGTTCAAAACACGATTAACTTCATGCGGGGTTAGTGTAAATTCTGAATTTAGTTCTGTGGCTTTGCAAAGGGTTCTGTCTTTTGTATTTTTCGATTCATATTATTCGCAATAATATTGCGATAAAAACTCAGCAAAGTCTCAGTTCTTGTGCGCGCTCTTTTATATAGAAAATTGTAGCCAAAGGCAACTTGTAACCGTAGATTATAAATAATCCCCTTCCCCTAAAGCTATATTGTTTTCATTACAGATGGGGGTTTCCAAGGTTTTGAAAACGATACAAAAAAACTATCAGACAAAGAAACGAATTAGACCGGCTATGGTACCAGAAACTCTTTCTCTATTGTTTAAATTCTGATTTTAAAACATGGTTTCGGGCTCCGTTGAGTTACCGACACTTTCGAGAAACGGCCCCCTCGTTCGATGAAACTAATCGGTTGGTTTTTCCGAATGTTCTTTGACAGAGGTTAACCTCTAGAAGTGTAACGGCAAAGAAAAAATTAGCCGTTAGGCGTGAAAAATTGACAAATCATAATTATTATTCGTAAAAAGAATTTAACCGTCAAAATCTTTCCGTGAACTTGAACGGAAATAGATTAACCGTCAGCCGTGAAATGACCAAAATTTTAACCGTTAGCCCTAGAAGTCATCACCCCAGTGAGACCCTTTGGGTCTCTTATCGTTATATTTGTCGCAAACCTAGAGCAACATTCGACAGATGTACTTGGTTAGTTTCAATCCGTTGGCAAAGCAAACATTTAGGCGTTCTGCGAATGATTCAACTGAGAGACAATTCTCCACTTAACTTTTATAATGAGCTTCGTTGTAAACTAAAACAATACTTTTACATTCTTATCCAAAGGAAGCTCACTCGACCATCAAACATGCCCTTTAACTCCCATGAGTGACCAAGACAGAATTTCTCCTTACAATATCAATA